GTGCGACGTGAGCGACGTGCCGGAGCGCAGCCCCCGGCCCTCCGCAACCCCCCGGACCTCCCCGGGCCGCGACCGGTTCCCCCGGGCCCGGCAGCGAAGGGCGGGGAGGGGGGGGAGCTGCAAATGCCCCCCATGGCACCGCAGTTCAGCTCGGGTTTAGCTTTTTTTTTTTTTTTTCTTTATTGTGTTTTCTTCTATATTTTTTTTATTTTTTTTTCTTTAATTATTTTTTATTTTCTTTTTGTTTCTTTTTTTGTTATTTTTATCTTTACCATTTTTCCCACTTTTTTATCCTCTCCATCATTTCTACCACTTTTTTATCATCTCCATAATTTCTACCACTTTATCATTTTTACCACTTTTTTAAATCATTTCTATCATTTTTACCACTTTTTAAAATCATTCCTATCATTTTTACCACTTTTTTTAATCATTTTTACCGCTTTCACTATTTTTACTCTTTTTACCGTTTTACCTCTTTCACTATTTTTACTCTTTTTACCATTTTTACCGCTTTCACTATTTTCCCTCTTTTCACTATTTTCCCTCTTTTCACCTTTTTTCCTCTTTTCACCTTTCCCCCTCTTTTCACCTTTTTCCCTCTTTTCACCACTTTTCCTTTTTTCACCTTTTCCCCTCTTTTCACCACTTTTCCTTTTTTCACCTTTTCCCCTCTTTTCACCACTTTTCCTCTTTTTCCCTCTTTTCACCCTGTTTATCATCTCAGCTCCCTCATTTGTACCTTTTCATTCCCAACGCGTTCCACTTGATTCTTTCCACCTCGGGCCCCTCCCGCAGTCGTCCCCCCCCATCCCCGAGGCGCAGGCCCGAAGACACGGTGATGGTCGCTGGGCGTGTGTCCCCCCCCCTTCGGAGAACAAAGCCTCCCCGGCTCCTCCTTTGTCCCCGCTGCAGTGCGGGGGGCCGGCGGCAGGCGGCAGCGTGGGCCGAGCCCCGACAACCCCCCCCTTGGTCTCTCCGCCCTCTTCCTCCTCCTCCTCCTCCTCCTCCGCCCGGCCTGCCCGGCTAGAAATAGGCGGCCGCCGCCGCTGCCGGCTCATTGCGAGCGGAGCGGAGGAAAAGCAGCAGCCGTAGGGTCAGCCCTTCCCCGGCTGCCTAGCGTTGGGATTTTCCTCCTTTTTCAAATTATTTTTGCAAATTCAAAGGGAAAAAAATTTTTTTTTAAAGTATTTTTTTAATTTTTTTTTTTTTTTTCTGCATCCTGATTTACAGCAAAATTACCGGCAGGACTCGCTCTCTCCGAGCAGGCAGCGGCGGTATTTGTGCCGTTCCTGCCGGCTTTGTGCCCTGAAGCCCCGTCCCTCCTCTTCCTCCTCCTCCTCCTCCTCCCCCTCCTCCGCCGTAAAGCCTTAACGCGCCTCCGAGAAGCATCCGAAAGCGCCGCAGCCGCTTTGCCCTAAACCACCCCCCGAAGCGACGACCGCAACAAACCCCGCTTTATTTTTTTATTACTTTTTTTTTTCCCCTCCTTCCTCCTCTTTTCTTCTCCTCCCTCCCTCCCCCGCAAACGCCCCAAGGTGGACGCGGAGCGCAAAAAGACCTTTGTTTTAAAAATGCCCATGGAGCTGACGCAAAGCCGCATCCAGAAGATTTGGCTTCCCAATGACAACCGCCCGGCACTGCCCCGCCGCTGTGAGTACGGGCACCGCAGCATCCCCGCGGGGTGGGCTGGGGTGGGAAACAGCCCCCCTTCTCCCTGAGTGTGCGTGGGGACTCCGCAACACCCTTTTCCCCAAATATCCATGCAGCATTCCTTGTTTTCCCCCCCTCCTTCCTCCGCCTTTGCCTCCTCCAGCATCATTCCCGTGTCCGCATCCCACCCGCTGCCATCCCGTGACTCGCTTCCACCCGTGGGAGCCGGAGGAAGGTGCAACCATCACATGGCAGCTTCCCGGTGCTCTCAGAGGAGCTGGGACACGCGTGGCCCAATTTCCGGCCCCCCCCCCCG